AAGGACTTAATTCTTCTTGGATCAACTATCAACACTCATGGAAGCAACAGTCAAGAAATCAAATGACGTATTGCATTAGGCAAATCTGCTGCATAAGACCTTTATAAAGTGTTTGTTGAAGAGCAAAGATGTCAACTTGTCCCAAGCCATGGTATTTTTAATAACCTCATATGTATGCTGAAGCTGGACAATGAATAAGAAGATCGTAGAAGAATTAATGCTTTTGAGTTATATAATTGGAAGAGAATATTGAAAGTGCCATGGACTGCCAAAAGAACCAATAGATATGTGTTGGAAGAAGTACAGCTAGAGTGCTCCTTGGAGGCCAGGATGGCCAAACTTCTTCTCTCATACTTCGGACATATTGTCAGGAAGGTCCAGTCACTGGAGAAGGACATCATATTTGGTAAGGTAGGGGGTCAGAGAAAGGAGGAATACCCCTCAACGAGATGGATTGGCCAAGTGGCAGAATTGATGGACTCAAGCGTGGCAACAATTGTGAGGTTGACCCAAGATGGGGCAGTGTTTTGTTCTGTTGTGCATAGGGTCACTATGATTTAGTACTGACTTGATAGTACCTAACAACAACAACAATTCAGCTCTTTTACCTCCTCATTTCTTCCACTTGCTTTAGTATCTATATGCTGGAGAGCAAGTTTCAGAGTCTCTTCTGACATCCATTTTGGTCTTTTCCTTATTTCTTGTCATTGTAATGATCTTTTGCTTTCTTCCTATATGATGCTCTTGATGGCGTCTCACAACTCCTCTAGTCTTCGGTCTTGAGTGCCTACTGCATCAAATCTGTTCTTAAAATGATCTCTAAATTCAAGTGGAATATGTTCAAAATCATATTTTGGTTCTTGTGGATTTGTTTTCATTTTCTTCAGCTTCAGAACTTGCAAGTGAGTAATTGATGGTCTGTCTCACAATCTGCCCCTGGCCTTGTTTTGCCTGATTACACTGAGCTTTTCCAGTGTCTCTTTCCACAGATGTAGTCAATTTGATTTCTGTGCCTTTCATCTGTTGAGGTCCATATGTATCTTTTATGCTGTTTTAAAAAGTATTTGCAATGAAAAAGTCATTGGTCTTTCAGATTCTACCATGCAGTCTCCAGCATTGCTTCTATCACCAAAGCCTTGTTATCCAACTACTGGTCCTTCCTCTTTGTTTCCAACCTTTTCATTCCAATTGCCAATAATTACCAATACATCTTGATTGCATGTTTGATCAATTTCAGGCTGAACAAGTTGGTAGAATTCTTCAATTTCATCCTCACTGGTTTGGTGTGTAAATTTGAATAATATTGGTATTAACTAGTTTTCTTTATAGGCATGTGAACATTACTTTATCAAAGACACTGTGGTACTTCAAGATAGATCTTGATACATTCTTTTTGATGATGAATTTGATGGCATTCCTCCTCGATTTTTCATTACTGGCATAGTAAACTATGAGATTTTCAGATTCGAAATAGACAATGCCAAGCCATTTCTGCTGGGATTTTGTTGGGGTTGTTAATTTTAGGGGGCAGGTTGATTCAGATGGAGTGCCTGAGGCCTGATGTGGTAGTGTGGGTATTGTACTGAACTGCAAAGTCAGTTTGATCTGCATGATTGGCAATTCAAGCTTACCAACAGCTCCCCGGAAACTGTTGCTATGGACTGGAACCAATTCAACAGCACTTAACAATAACAACAACCTGGGGATTGCACACACAGCTGCTAATTTAAAAATTGGAAATTTGAGTCCATTCAAAAATTCCTCAGAAGTAAGGCCAAGTGATCTGCTTCTGAAAACTCAGTCATTGAAATCCCTTTGGGACAGAATTTTCTTCTGACACATATGAGTTCCACATGAGTTGGAACTAACTCAAGGGAAACTGCTCTTTTCTTGTTTGGGATTTGACTCCCATTTGCCCATAGAGTCACCCAACTTTCTTCTGTGACACCCTTCAGAAAACTCATGATCAGACTCTCAGGTATTTCAATACGTAACCTATGCTACACAGAAACAGACGGTGACATAGGACAGGGTCAATCTCAGCCCTCTCTGCTGACCCCATTGTTACTAGCAACCTGGTTACAGCCCAGGAAGGAAAGGGGCAGCCTATGATGCAGAATCTTCGGAACAAAATAAGGTACATACATAAACACTTTACTCTCTTTGTCCACTATCTTCTTTGTCACTCATTATTTCCCCTGAACTTTTGTTACCTGAAATTATGGCCTAGACCTGTGCTTTTCAGACCAGTAAGGAGCCCTGGTGGTGCAATGGTTACGTGCTCAGCTCTTAAAAGGTTAGCAGTTTGAATCTAGCCAGCAGCTGGCAATCTGCTTTGGTAAAGATTAATGTCTAGAAACATTAGGGGGCAATATTATTTCATCATATGGGGTTGCGATGAGTCAAAAATTGACCCCTCGGTACGGTACGTAATTACAGCCACAACCAGATCAGCAGCATCAACATTGCCTGGGAACTTGTTAGAAATACAAATTCTAGGACCATAGCCTACTGACTTAGAAGCTCTGGGGGTTAGGCTGAACAAGTGTTATTTTTCCAAGCCTTTCAGACACTTCTGATGCACATTAAATTTGAGATGTATTGCTTAAATTTGACTTACCATGTGCCAAAGGGGAAGAAGAGAATCATTTCTAGACACTTACTGCAAAATCCTATATCTGATTGTCGAATGCTGATTATTGCTTAGATTTCCTCTACTTGTATATGTCACATAAAAAAAGAAAAGAAAAAGGTGGAAAAGGAAAAGAAACCCTTCCTCTAGGCAGACAACATGTAAGGGGAAAAGCAAAAGAGGGAATAACTATTTTTAAAACATCAATTCGCTATTTTCAAGATGAGCAAAATACCCTTTACCATGCCTTCTTCAAACTTCATCCCCAATCTAAATTTCTATCTTTCTTATTCTCTTTTTAAGGATTTCTCTACTCCAGCTATATAATTTTACCATACTTATATTATTTTGCAAATGATTCCTGTTTTCAAACATTTAATTAAACGATTTATTCTTAAAATATGCCCAACACTTCTCTTCTAACTATCTGAATTTTACTCTTTTTTCTATCCCAGCTCATTCACCTTTCTTCAAGAAAATTTTGACAA